AACACTATTTTGATTATTATAGTTTTATAGTGTAGTTTGAAGCGATACTTCCACTTCTTTTTTTTTTTTTTTTTTTTCCTATTTTTCTTGTCTTTCATTGCCTTACTTTATGGCCACTTTATTATTTACAAATATTTTCCCAAGAAGTATAACATTCACATTTAACCTCTTAATGTTATCATTGCATAATTGCCTGAATATTAGTCAACTGTGAAACATGTTGACAGGATTTAAATTTTTTCCTCCATGAAATTAGTGTTTGGTTTACCGCAGATGTTAATCTTAAGGGTATGTTAAATCATTATGTCGCTTGCAAGAACTAATCTAGATAAATAAACAAATTCAAGATGATATATTCTTATAGCACTATGCTATCAGAAAGCCTTCATAGCCTAAGTTGTGTAGTGGCTCTTAGAAATATTTTTATAAAGCATGGAGAGATTACAAGTGACTATTTTTAAATTGTAGCCTTTATGTTTTAAAATTTATTTACCATTAATTTTCAAAACTATAAATTTGAAGATAGGGTAAAATGCAGGCTAGTTGATTACATAAGCAAAACATTAGTAATATTAGTTTTAAGAAAAAAGAACAAGCTCCCAACAAACCACATATTTTTATGTTGATGTTCTATTAAAAAGAGTAGGTAGGTAGATACCAGCTTTAAAGAATATGGAGGCATATTACACATATACATATTCATTAAACTACACAACATTTATTATGACACAGTTCAATGAATTTTATATACCCTGTGTAACTACCCACTTTAATCGAGAACTATGTTAGTAGTACTCTGAATGACTCAGTCCTATATCTTTGCATTCGCTATGTTTCCTCCTTCTCAAAGAAAATACTATGTGGTGTCTAATATCCTAACTGAGTTTTTCCAGTTTGGGAATGTATTTCTGTAGGATCATAGAGCCTGTTATACTTCAAAACATGCAATTATATTTATTCATGATTTTGCAAATAGCAGAGGGTATACTTTCACTGGTGTGTAGTATTTCAAGGTGTGGATATTGTAAAGTGTATCTTTTGTTTTGGCAGTCAGTTAAGTGTCAAGGTAGATCATAACAAAATCTGGAGCTGAAGTGATGAGAAGCTAGTCTTCAGTCTGTAAGTTGTGTTTTGCCTTTACTGAGTGCAAGCCTTTGTTGTTTTTATTTTTCCTTTGTAATTTTTAATTCATTCTTTTTACTAGACTTCTCTCCTTACAGAATTTTTAATTCTAGTTTTTGTCTGTGAAACATTGTAAGATTGGTGAGAAATAAGCTTAGTTTATAAACATTTTAGTTGGAACCTAATAATTGCCAGTTTATGTGGAAGGGACATTGAAGGAAATGTCAAATTATTTTCTATGTACTTCATTTCACTGGGGTCTTGGACTTTGATCTTCTGTTATGAGGTCCGATTAAGAAAATGGATGGGAAAATCATTATATGTTAAAAGGGTTATTAACATTTTTATTCATGTTGCTATTCTATTTTTGTTTCTAGTTAGACAATATTTAAACATCTGCCCAAATCATAAAATATATTTTCATAATTATTATGAAACATTCCAGAGAGTTAAGCTGCAAGTATTATGAGAACAAAATTCTCTGTGGTCAGGATGTTGGTAATTACTTCTTAGTCGTGCAATCATAAATTAAGTTCTTTGTTTAGTCAGTCCTGGATACTGTATTCAAAAAGGTTGATATATATGCCTTTTCTCATTTCCTCCAGATGCATCAAGTAAATAATGTCTCCACTGTTATTTCCCCAGATTTAATTTATAGGCTGATATTTAACCACCTAATAAACAGCACCAGTACTGGTAGGTTTACAAACAGCTACTCTTCTTTAGGTACTGTGCTCCTGAAAGGCATAGCAGAAGACAGAGCTTCTTCCTTTAAGATGATAACTAAACTGCAATTCCTATCAGTGGACACATTAGAAAATGGCAGCTATAAGATTCACATCATTGTTTAAGCTGAATCTTATAACTCACTCCACATTATGTATCTCCCTCAGCAGCTACCTCTTATCAACTGGCAAATCTGACAATTTTATGGATTAAGTATTTCTCAGATGTGTACCTTTTTGAATGCCTCTAGAATTAACATATCTGAATAGACAATTCACCAGAGAATATATCCAAATGCCAATTGCCAATGTTTACATGAAAATATATCACTTTTTTTTAAAGATTTATTTATTCATACAGAACTCAGGTACAGGCCAGAGATGCGGAGG